ATTATATAAAATCTGCACAAGAGAATGACGAATTAAAGGAAATAAACAAATATCAAGCGCATATAAAATTGTCCATCATATTTTCTACATGCCACAACTCATGATAGCCACACTACATTGTTGGAATGCATAGATTTGTGTTAAAATTGCATACAATTACTCATTCAAGCATCATATTGACAATGAGAAGCAGCCTACTCAGTTCCAAAGTGATTTTCAAAGCAAGCCAAGGCTCCTTTAAATCACATTTCTGGTGGGACTGATGTTGATAAAGCCAAGGCGTAAATGCCATTAGAATCAGTGACAATGATATATACTTTGTGGGTAGGTTGGGAAAATAAAAAATCTTCAATAAGAACTTAAAACAACCTAAGTCGTTTTAGGCCATCCAATAACTGGTATTTGAATTAGCGACAATGAAGTGAGCATGCTTCACGATTCTATTGAACGCAGGATAGTGTAAAGATGCAGAGCTAATCAGATAAAAATGAATGCAGCTTTGTCTAGGGAGTAGAAAAGCAAACCTAAACATTCCCTACTTGAATAAGTCGGAGTTCTATTACTTAAAAAGATACCAATGTTCTTGGGCAAGCGTTCATCGGAAGAATGAAGATACCTGGTGCAGGCTGGCTGGTAGTGTCCACGGACTGGTCATCGATCCCTTCAACAGCAGCCCCATACACACTGGAGGGCCTCTGGCCATATCGACGTGATTCATTAAGTAATGTGTGAGCAGAGCCGGAGCGGCGTTTGACTCCGTTGGTTTGGTTGTCTTTAGATTCACTGGCAGAAGCATCTAGGGCAACGCCAATGCTAGGAAATGCTCGATGGGATGAGGATAGAGGAGGCCGATCGGGCGAACGAGGCTTTATATCAAGACTAGAAAAAGACTGTACTTCGGATAAATGGTATTTGGAAATGAATTCTGAAACGTGCAATCGGTAGTCCTGCAAAGTACTTGGCTGATCTGACTTGGCGGCCACTATCAAGCAAGGCACTCGGGTACCACGATAATAGTTCTGATGGAATTAAATGAAGTGCAGAGTTAGGAAAAGGAATTAAAGTAGATGACAAGCAAACTTATATAAGAAGCTGTCAATAACATACAAGTCATACAGGTCAACAGTAGATATTAGCCTTATTAGATTGAGGAGTAAGTAGATGATAATAAAATGAAACCGAGGAGTAAACATACTAGAAAGAGATTTGCAATGTATGTAAAACTGCATGGATCCGTGACATCATACACGAGGCAGGCAACATCAGCGGACAGAGCCTCACCGGCAGTCATTTGCTCACCGGCTGCGGCGCCAATCTCATGCATGAGAAGACAGCGCAACTGTCCATAGACAGGTAGGCCGATGGCAGCAGCCCATGCTGAAGCACGACCAGTAACACCACCGATCGCGTGACCACCAGTGCCATGCAGACTTCGGCCAAGAAGACCTTGGAGAAGACATGTCTGAACAATAATTGGACGATTAGGTTGTAATGAAATATAAGAATAGAAATGAAAATGAAAATTGATTGACTGAAGGAAAAAGATGGTTAGGTATTAACAAAGGAAAAGGCAAATCACTTTTATTATACCTATGGCTCAAGTATTGAGATTATCCCTAATGAATGCTAGATATTTTATCTAAAAATGAATCGCTAACAAAAAGAGAATATGACTTGTAGAAATAAATGAAGATGAGCGAGAAGAAAAAATAATCCATTAGTTCCAACCCTTCAAAATGGGTTTTAGGATAACAATCAAATAGGATATGTGTATCTTTAATTATATATGCATTCTTTAACTTTAAAAGAGGACTGCCTATTCGACTTTATTCTCGAGATTTTAATAAAACCAATCAAATAATCACAAAAAAGAATTAAATATACGCTTGATGCGAAAACTTATATTCCTTATGGAAGTATATGATGAAGAGATTCGTAGATCAATCGCAGCAGAAGATATTGGCTGATATGTGTTTTACATACAACCACTTGGCATTTATACGACGTTCAGGTTGATTCAGTCTACGAGGCATCCTCCAAAGTATTAAGCGAAGATGGGTTGAACTTACGTTCCTAAGATGACGAAAATCGTCCGGGCTGGAACACAATCTTGAAAAAGTTTTAAGTTAGCCTAATTCAAGAAGACTAGCTTTTTTCTATATGATATATACGCTCACCACGTAAAAGCGATCATAACCAGAATTGGAAAAAATTTAATGCTAGCCCCGGGTCAATAAGGCGCAATGACCCAAGAAAAAAAGTAAAAACGAATGATGACATTGTGATATCCCGTAAGTATCCCTGGTTAAGTTGATAAGGTGTAAGTCTGACGCATAAAAGTCAGGTTACGAACCCACCAGTCCAACATGTTAGTCTGGGTTTAATGACACAAGGAGAAGCATGGTTAGGATTGAGTAGCTCTGAACATCTGTTGTCGCTGATTAGCTTCGCATGCCTGTTGAACTAGTGTGAATTTGGTTAAAACCATCACTCAGCTTACGAGTTGAGCCGTCTTTTTTTGGACAGCGAGTCAACATCCTCTCTCTCTTTCAATCTTTTGATCAAACATAAGTAATTCTTACTCAACATTCTGCCATCATTCCTCACATTCATAGTATTCTCTAATCAATTAATTACAATAGTCGTACTTTATTCGGTTATACCTTTTTTAGAGAGAAATATGACTAGCTATCAAGATCCGGCTGTTCCGGAGGTGCTCGTGTGGTCGAAATTATGTTGGTGAGACCTGTCGACAGATTCGCAAAAGATTAACAGAGCACAAAAATATTGTAAAGACAGTTGGGTCGAACGGTCAGAGATGGCGAAATATATGACGGAGACTGAACATGAGATAGAATGGTCTCGTACATAGAGATTTGCAGATTATGGTATGTCTGTTACGAAACTCAAGATAGGGTAGACTAGTGAAATTAATAGATTAGGGAATATGTTAAATGTGAGGAATGGAGATAGGAAGTTCAGTAAGAATTACTTATGCTTGATTAAACGTTTGAAAGAGGGTGTTGACCCGCCATCCAAAAGATGGCTCAACTCGTCAGCTGAGTGATGGTTCTAGCATAATTCACACTAGTTTAACAGGCATGTCAAGCTCAACAGCCAAAACGGACGTGTAGGGCTACCCAATCCTGGACATGCTTCTCCCTGCATTATTAAACGTTAATAATCCAGATGAACAGGTTCGGACTGGTGGGTTCGTAACCTGACATTTAGGCGTATAGACTTGCATCTCATCAATTTAATCATAGATAAAAAGACCAAGATGTTGTGGCCTCGGGTATGGTCGCAGTCTCCTTTCGACTTATAGAAGTGGGTTGACCTC